CTACATAATGAGTTCCAGGACAGCTGGGGCTACAGGGAGACCCTGTCTCAAAAAGACCAAAAAAAAATGTACAGAATGAAGTAGTTCTCTCAAATGGAGTTGAGATGTCATGGATGAGTAATGGAAAGTTGCTAGACTTTGCAAGATGTAGATTATTGGAAACTGATAAGGGCACCTAAGGACTCATGGTAAGGCACAAAAGCCCCAAGAGTTCCACAACTTGAGGTGGAAGTCGAGGACCCAGAGAAGGAGGGCCAGAGCTGACCCAGTGTAAGGCACACAAGCAGGCAGGAGAAGTTAAATGCTCCTTACCGGACTAGAGAGATGGCTCAGTGATTATGAATGCTGATTGCTCATAAAGAGGACCCAGATTCAATTCCCAGCACACACATGGTGCCTAACAACTGTCCTTAACTCCAGTTACAAGGGATCTGAACCCTTTTCTGGCCTCTATGGGCATTATACACACATGGTGCACTTACATACATGCAGGCAAAGCAGTCATACATAAAATAAAACTAAATCATAAAATCTTAAAAAAATCTCCATATAGAATCTGGGGACGTGGGGATGGGGCAGAGATGACTGGGGTTAAAGAGCAGAGGTGCTGGGCATTCAACACATGCAGAAGCTGAAGACACAGGTAGAGGGCTGGATCCCCACTCAAGGTAAAATAGAGAAGTGTGGGAACTCCAGAACATGCGGTGGAAGCCACTCATACATTGCCTTCCCCTTAAAAAAATCTCCATATAGAATCTGGGGACGTGGGGATGGGGCAGAGATGACTGGGGTTAAAGAGCAGAGGTGCTGGGCATTCAACACATGCAGAAGCTGAAGACACAGGTAGAGGGCTGGATCCCCACTCAAGGTAAAATAGAGAAGTGTGGGAACTCCAGAACATGCGGTGGAAGCCACTCATACATTGCCTTCCCAAATGTAACTGTAGTCTCAGTTTTCATAAACTTTATTATCAGTCTAGAGAGCACCATTTTGAACAAATTATGAACGGGCCCCCTTGCCTCCAATTGGTGCTGTAGCTCATGGTGTTAATTCTATGGAGCACATTGTATAGAACAGCATATGTGTACCCACGGGCTTTGGATTTTGAGTCTTCAAGCTAGTGCTCAACTCTTAATTCTGACTCTTTCTTAATGTCTTTTTGAGGCCCTTGTAGCTGTGAGATTGGTGTTCAAAGATGTTATAATACCTGTGCTACTTCATCATACATTTATTATGGATCTACCATCAT